CAGGAAGGCCTGGCGCAATATGGTTCATGGGGTCACAGAGAGTCGGACACGACTTAACGACTGAACAACAAAGTGTGTTCTGTATCTCGAAACATCCATCCTCCTCCTAGCTAATCCTTTATACCAGTGTTTTTCAACCTTGGCAACTTGAAGATGGGTGCACTCCAACTCCCAGCATGGTGGCAGGCTGGCTGGGAAATTCTGGGAGTTGAAGTCCACCCAAGTTGCCAAGGTTGAAAAAACACTGCTTTATACCATAATCAGCCATTAGTTTTCCAAAGAAATAGCGCTTTAAGATGCTGCACTGGTCACTTAATTTGGGGGCAGGGCTATCGGATATTGGGATAAATTTCAGCCCCAAAGCAATGCCCAGATGAACGTAGACATTGAAATATTAATCCCCCTCCAAATCAAGGCGAATTCTGTCTCGACATTGCTGGTGCTTCTCACCCCTCTAAGTTTCTATATCTATGCTCGTCTTTAAGTCTATAAAGCATTTCTCTGCTACTCGGAACGGGCAGAGGTGGGGAGTTTGGCTGAGAGGGGCGGCGCGTCTTTCCGTCCCGTCCCGTCCCGTCCCGTAGTGAACCGGGAGGGTGAAATTCGTTGCAGAGAGCCCCATACCGAGGTGTGAGTAAGCGTGCATCCATTTACTAACCCCCGAAGCCTGAAAAGCAAAGGAAACTCTTCTCTGTACAGCACATTTTCTGTTAGGTACTGCTCAATAAGGAAGGGTGGCAGTCAAAAGCTGAGCCTAGCCGAATGTTTAAAATGTTATTTTTGCTGTTGTTGATTGGGATTCTTTTCCCTTATTTCTACGAAGAATACAGCAAAGATCAGGCTTTTTAAAGAGAAGGCCTGGAACTAGGAATTGCTTCTCGGTTAGACGTGGGCTGGGAAACAATGATGTACTTAGAGTTAGCAGTTTCAAAGTGTTAAAATTGTAGGTGTGTGACATGTTTACACACACATGAACAAAAAGTGTGTGTATAAACTGCAGTCAAGTACAGGTAGGCCTAGATTAGTGTGAGTTCAAATAGTGTGAAATTTGATTTACAGTAGTGTGATTTATAAATTGATACCAGGTTGCACTTTTGTAAAAAACTGGAAACACTTTATAGATTTTTTGCTGAAAATGGACAAAAATGAATGGATGATCTCAGGATTTACTGATTAAAAAGGGGTGTTTATGGGAAGAAGAGAACCGTGATATATCATTTGGGAGGGTGGGAATGGTAATATGTTTGTAACTGCTGTAAAGAAGATCAGAAGTCACTTTAGATATTTTTCTTCTCCTTTCTTTTTTTCTTCTCTTCCCTTTTCTTGATTTTTACTGTTTCTCACTTTTCCTTTTATCTTTTCATATTTTTTTAATTATTTCTTTATGTTTCCATGGTTTATTTAATCTGTAAATTTTTTTTCTCAATAAAAATTATATTTTAAAAAATTGATACCAGGTCACATTTAATATGAGCCAAAATGTTAACAGTAGCACTTAGGGCTATTGTGAATAGTAAAAGGGTACAAGTGTCCTAGAAGAGCACTTAGGGGCTTATGAATACAATCTTTTTTTCATCCCTATTTTAACATCATTTGGGGATAATTGAGAATTTACCATTTTTTTAAAAAAAGTATTTGCCCTATTTTCCATTGAAATATAATTCAAATAGTGCAAATTTGAATAATATGACCATTTTGTGGGATTTATTTACCATATTAATTGAGACCACCTCATTTCCGTGGGAGATAAATTGCATTCAACTCAATGAGGTTTGTAGAGGAGTTGACAGGTTTGGGCTGCTAACATGGATTGTAGGATTTTGCTACTTTAGTCACAGCACAAATTTGGGGCCAAAAGTGGGCTTGGAGTAAGAATGGAATTTGTAGTAACAGAAGTAGCAGCAGCAAAAAGAAGAAATTTCAAATGGACAGAAGTAAGGTTGGAGTGGAGCCAGATCATAATAAACAGTTTTCCTTATATGTATTTGGTTGCTAGGTAATCATTGGTTAGTTGTGTTTATTGTAGTTTATGCTGCAGGGATATTGTGAGACTGGAGAAAGAAAAGTGATTTTTCTGATTTCCTTGGAGGGAAGGGGGATGTGGATGTTATAAATAATGGAATTAAAAACCAAGGCCAATGGGACCCAAGAGGAATGAGTTGGAACTTGGTTTGGGTGGTACAAGGAGTCTGTCAGTTTGATGTTCCTGGATCTTCTGTGGTTTTCTCGTGTGGATTGCAACTGCAGTTTTAACATTATTTTGGTAACTTTGCTATGAGGTGGCTGTATTAGTCTGCAGTAGCAGAAGTAACAAAGGGCCTTGTACTCTCTTAAAAACAAATTAAAATATATAATGACTGCATTATTCTTTAAAGGCTCTAAACCTCTTTGTTATCTTCCCTAGTGTTTGTGAGATCTTTCAGCATTTCTGCCTTGTTACTACACCGCTGTTCCATGGAGAAAATATGATGGGTGTGTTCTAGGCACCTGTGCTCATGGGAAGGGAAGATGAATGAGCATTGGCTTTTTCTTGGGGGTCTATCCTAATACACCTTCCTCTGATTCATCTTTCAAAGGTTTGAGGAACGTGCGTGAACACTGTAATCAATTCTTTCAAAAATCAGCCTCTGCCCTTTAGGCTGATTTCTTCCTGACCCAAGGCTTCCATGCAGTTTTTCCCAATTTGGCACCCTCTGGGTGGCATATTGGATGACATAATTTTCCACTACTATGGGTATAATAGTCCAACACATCTGGACAGATCCAAGGTAGGAAAGTCTGGTTTATAGTCAGTCTCTCTGTCACTTTTTCTTCTAAAGTTTGGTTCTTAACCCTTGCTTTCATTCTGTAGCCTCTGTAGGGCCCACCAGTTCCAACATGGCATCAGTTACAGATAAGTCCCTGTTATCGGCGGAGCTACAAGGAGAAGAAGATGAAGAAGAATTCCGTCGGCTCCTACTTCAGGTGCTCTGAGGGCAGTTTCTTTCATGTTTAAAAAAATTGTTGGGTTGTTTTGGAAACAGAAGCAGGATTCTTGGGATAGAGAACAGAGGGAGCTTACAGCAAGAATTCAGGCTGCGGGCCATGGTCCAGAAGGGCAGCAGGATCAAGGCAAAGAAGGCGTTGATGCTAGAACAAAAAAACCTCTTGACTTACTAAAACGTTTCATTAATATTCCCATAAATTAAATCCATCCAGTTTAATATGCTCATTTCTTATGTATTCAGTTATTTTTCCCCTCTTGTCCCATTAAATCAGAAATAGTGACTTTTGAAGTTGACGTTTTTGGGTGGCCTGAAGGCTGCAGGGTGGGTGGGGCTGGCATTTTGAAGGGACTTTAGGAGGCACTTTGCTTTTTCGCTGTGATGTGCCTATTTTATAGCTGACATGACGTTTTCCATTTCTTTCCCACTTCAGAAGAGGACCACACCATCACTTTTCAACAACCTAAGTCAGAGGAGATTGGGGGGGGCTACAGAAAGGGGTTATGGGAGCCATTGGTGGTCTTGGGGACCATAAATATCGCAAACGTTGCAACTGCTTTTGATGGGGGGCAGTCAAGTTGGGGAAGGGCTGCCTCTGAATCATAACTCAACAGGTATAGTTATCTAGGGCTACGTAGCTCTTGTCAGGAATGATTTGTGGAAGGACATCTTCATGTTCAAGACTATTGCTTTCAATGCAATCAGCCTTTGCAATTTGATAGAACTGTGTATTTCAAAAATGCATGTCTAAACCATACCAGACACATAGTACCAAAGCCATCATGACCTGACGTTATTGTTCTGGTTCAAGAGGCAGTTGGTTTTCGTAAAAGCATTTGAAACTTGTTAGTTGAGGTAACAGGCAGATATCCCTGATGAACAAGACACTGCATTTTTATGAAGTGGCTAAAATGTGACTCTTAAATGTCACTCCTAATTATAATGCTTATTCAGGTTATTTTTCTCAGTAATAATTGCTATACATTTTAATTGTTGTACTGACTTTATTTATTTATTTATTTGCCTTTACCTGGATGACATTGATAACAATTTAGAATGCGTATGCCAGTGTTTCTCAATCTTGGCAGCTTGAAGATATGTGGACTTCAACTCCTAGAATTCCCCAGCCAGCCATGCTGGCTGGGGAATTCTGGGAGTTGAAGTCCACATATCTTCAAATTGCCAAGGTTGAGCAACGCTGGCACATGCAGTGTTACAAATAGCTGGTAATGATGGGAGGAGTCTGGAGCTCCATTGTAATTGGCATCAGAGCCCTTGTGTGATATCATCTTCCTCATCCACCATCCAATGGCTACGTTTGTTTATTATGATGCCCAGGGACAGCTTTCCAACATATGGCATGTACCAGAAGTGTTGATCTATGTTTTCCAAAATTCCAGGTTAAAGTGGCCTTATTCTCTTCTTGTCTGCAACCTGCCCTTGCAGGAGTGATCAGACAGACGTGCAACGAGAGAATGAGATGAACTAGGTTTTCTTTCAGCCGTAAGAAAGAGAAGCGATGCATCGATGGGCCTGGTTGCTGACAGGGTGGTCCATGCAGGGTTCATAAATCCATCCAACTATTCTCTCCCTAGGCAGCCCAGAATATCCAGGGATCCGTGCCTTCTCCGGCAGAATCCAAGCCTATCCGTCCACTCCCAGGTAAAAAAAAAAATTAATTACTGCAGAAAAAGGTGACATGCTAAATGAAACAAGGGAATGTGAAAAAGATCTAAGATATTGGAGAGAATTTCTCAAACCTACAGGGAAATGAGACAGCCTTCTCCTTGCCTGTCACATGGGTTTGCTCATTTCCCCAACACTCTGCTTCTTTCTCTCTCTTTCTTTTTCCAGCCCTCCTTTATTTCCAAGCGGGATGTGAGATAATAGGGGATGTTATGATCTGAAAGGGGACGTGGAGAAAGTTATGGGCAATAGAATGAATTGATAGATAGTATTTTTTAAAAAAGACTATTGCAAAAATAGTGTCATATGATATTCCTATGCTGCACTGTATTAAAAAAAAAGATTTCATATCAAAAAGTTTTAAATACAATAAAAGAGCAGGAGCTTTGCAGGGAAACTTTGAAAGCTAGAAAAAATGAAAATCAGTTCCAGCTGCTGTGGGTGAGACAGAGGGAGGGTGGGAGGATAGTATAAAAATTGCTCAACTAAGCCTGCTGTATAAGGTTTTATAGGGTTTACAGAGTTTTACCTGTCCTGGACATTTTGGATTTGGACACAATGAGGCTTTTCTTGCTTTATTTCAGTTTGCTTTATTTCAGAACTAGTTGGGGGTGTTTGGGCTCAGTTTCCACCCACATCCTGTTACTGCACGTTTGAATCCTGTGCTAAGATAGGAAGAAGTCTGGTCTGCCAAATTGCAGGAAAGATTCTGCTGTCATTTTCTGGTTTTGCTGCATGTGTGACATCTTCATCTGGGACCTTTTTTTCCTGCTTAGGATTCTGCCTTAAAACCCATACAAGTTCTGGTGAGAAGATTTTTGTCAATGTCTGCAGGTCCCTGCACATCCCTTCCCCACCAGACCTAACCAACGAAGAGCTGGCTTGCCTCATTGAGTCAGAGAATGCCTCCACCTTCCGGATCCCCATGAGTCTGGGGGAGCCCCATGCAGAAGTGGACAAGAGTGAGTGGTCAGCTGATTAGAAAATGGATTGGTGCTGAGATAAATTGCACAAGCTGGGAAATTAAGCCATATTATAGTTTATCTATCTGATTGTATCCACAATTGCTCCTCAGGTCATATGGTCTGGCTGGGCTGAGGAGCAGCAAAACCATTTTTGGTCATAGTGGGGATGGCAGTAACATGTAGCAAAAGTACATTCATAATTACTTCTATCTGAGTTGCTCCCAGACTTGCCCATTCAAGCCCTTCCCAGAGGTGCTATTGGAAATCACAGAGAATGACAACACTCTTGCTTGCTTTTTATTGTCGTATGGATCACTCCGTGTTCATCCTACACTCTGCAGAAAATCTGCAAAAGAATTTAAATCTTATACACATTTCTAACCATCCTGACGGAAGTGGAAATAGTGTTGAAATACACAGATAAACATGTCTTTCTACATTTTTCACATGGGGTGGGTTTATATGGGGAACTTCCCATTGAGACGATACCATGTAATTGTACCCCTTCAAGAACAACGATTAACACAGAGCCGGTTCATGTGCACTGTGGACCTAAGGAAGAGCCATCCCCATCAGGAGTCAGCCTAATGCTTCCTTCTTCCTTCCAGGCGGTAATGGTTGCACAGCCTACGAAGTCACCATCAACAGCAACTTTTTTAATAAGATGGAGGTGAGTCTCCTTTTTTTTAATGGGAGCTTGGGATCTGGGTACTCCAGAGAGGAGTCTTCCCTTCCTCTGCTCCCCCGATTGCCTTTTTCAGCTCAACAGGAGGCTAAGTACATGACCTCAAATGGAGTCAAAGATGAGATTTGTATCTTGTACCCTTGATTCTTTTATATCATACCTGATTGATCTTTTCATTTTTCTTCCCAGTTTCCACATCAAAAATAATCTAGGACTTCATTGCGGTGTAATTACATACATTTCAGGCCCCGGAGTCTTTTCTATCCATTGTTATTTTTTTTACACCCAGTCAGTATGGTGGATAATATATATGCCTTGTTTACTGTTGAATCCAGCAGGCATTTTTTATTCTGGTGGTCTCACACAACACTATAGTTAAACAGCTTTTTTAAATGGGTGGCCACAAATTGAACCCAGGATTTCTTCCATGCAGAGCATGGACTTGATCATTGAACCATAGGCTTTTCTCACCTGTGATCTGGCCTTTTCATGTAAATGGTAGTGCTTTGCACATACAGGTAGTCCTCACTTAACGACCACAGTTGGGACTGGAATTTAGGTTGCTAAGTGATGCAGTTTTAAGCAAATCATATCACCAGACCTGATTTTGATGACCTTTTTTGTGGCGGTCATTAAGCAAATCATGCCGTTCCCTGTTGATTTTGCTTGCCGGAAGGTGGCAAATGGCGATCATGTGACCCCAGGATGCTGCAACCGTCATAAGTGTGAGCTGGTTGCCAAGCGCCCGGATCGCAATCACATGACCACAGGGGCGCTGTGACAGTCGTAACTTCAGGCACCGGTTGTAAGTCACTTTTTTAGCGCCATCATAACTTCAAACGGTTGCTAAATGAACAGTTGTTAAGCAAGGACTACCTGTACAGTACTCACATCTGGGGATGCTCCCTAGAGGTGTGGGATTCTGTTGGGGAAAGTAGTTTTCAAGCCATTTTTTTTGCACAACCATGAGAAAAATGGGCCTTACGTTTTCTCAATTTTCTCTCCCATCCCTGCCAACGTCAAGAGCAACCAGTTCCTCAAAGAATTCTTCCTTACGATAGCCATGGAAGGGTTGTCAGAGAAATACAAGATGGACATCAGCAATCAAGGTACAGAAAATAAGAATGGTGGCAAGCAGGGCATTTGTTTGGTGGGTGGCATGGTTCCTTGAACATAAGCAATCTGGCAGCATTGCCACGCTCTTCCTTCCCTTTGGGCCTGGCTGTAGCTTTGAATCTCTGCAACCAGCTGACACTGTTGCTTGTCTTCCTTCCTAGAGTGGCGGATTCTGAAGAACAGGAAGTTTATGGGCTCCATATCGGAACAGAATATTCGCACTAAATCCAAGCCCATCATCCAAGAGATGCACAGCAGGTGTGCTTTTTTGCATTGGGGGGGCTCTCCTTTAAGCTAAGCCGCCACCTTGTGCTATTAGATCCCCCCCCCCTTTTTTCCCAAAAGGAGCTCTCTAGCTGTTCTGGATGTCATCTCCATGATCCCTAGATAGCCTAACCATATGTTCAGGACTGGATATGACCTCCTGGAAATAGCCTTTTTCTGTCCTTTTGACTCTGAGGTGCATCCACCCTGGTCAGACACACTCTTGCCAATTCTGGATAGTGGTGGAGCTGGCACAGCAGAATCTTTGCCTGCTTGCCCACATTCCTGTAAGGGTGGGATAGATCTGTTATAATCAGTGGATTCATTGCGTGCCATCAAGTCAGTGTTGATTCTTAGTGATCACATGAATAGATTTTCTCCAGGATGATCTGTCCCTAACCTGGTCTTTCAATGCTGCTGTAACTGAGGATCCACCTGGCTGCTGGTCATTCTCTTCCCCTCTTTCCTTTCCTCTTTCCCAGCATTACAGACTTCTCTGGAAAGCTGGGTCTTCGCCTAATGCAGTGTTGTCCAAACTTGGCCACTTTAAGATGAGTGGACTTCAACTCCCAGAATTCCCCAGCCAGCAGGGGAATTCTGCTGGCTGGCTG